ATGAGAAACTCTTTAAATCTCTTGAGCGATGGACATGCTTTTAGGCTCCATAATCGAAAAAAAAAACCTGTGAATTCTCGTGCCCACTCAAGAAATCCCAACCGCATGTATCGCGCGTTACAGCCACGCGCTACACTTTGCTCGATGCTGCTAGGCGCGTGGCTTTTTGCTTCACTTTTACAGGATACGAATTCATTTACAGGTTTATGGTATCACTTGAACCAAAATATTTTACATTTGGTTGAAATGCCAACTCCTAGGGACTATGTGCATTGTTCAAAAAGTTTTCAACGCTATAAAAGATCATATTGGCCTTCTTTCTACCAACATCAATAATCTGACATCAATATATATTTCTTGATTCTGATATGTTTGTTTTTTCGTGATTTACTGACTATATATATGCGATTAATATATGGTTATGGTAAAATCTACTTCCGATAAAACTCTGCCAAAATGGGCTCAAAGAAAAGTTCTAAAGAAATAGAGACGCACACGAAACCACAAACATAGAGAGAAAAAGAAAGGACATAAATAAACAAGTTAATAAGTGACAAATGATCTACAAATGATTGTGTTTAGAGTTAAATCATGCAAGCAGAGCACATAGCATAGTCGACGAACAAGACATTCTTGTTTGTAGCTTCACGTAGTTACCAACTTGTTTCTTCTGCCGAAGACTCTTCTGTCGCATACTCATCTGCCAGAAGATGATGCCCCTCAACAAATACGAGTTCACATGTGCTTGAAGCTCGGGACGAAAGTGTCAACTCCTTGATCATCTTCAGGTTTGGAACATAATGTTCAGTTGTCTCAGCCACGATTGTCGCCGTCTTTAAGTGACAAGCGTTTTTCAAGATATATACTGCAATATCTCTGTCTTGTTTTCTCCCAAAGTATCGTGACCAGTTGAGAATTTGTAGACTCGTCAACATGCATTCGGGAACAGCACTCGGTTGATTCCAGCAAACCATTTTATTACGTTCATCACGCCCATGACCCTTTCACAGCGTAGATGAATTAGAATAAATACCATACTGCGCATTAGCCCCCGAAAAAAAAAAAATCGAAAAACTTACTTCCATGTCAGAGATGTCTAGTACTTGTAACTTAGGAGAATCTTTGAGCATCTGGGCAAGACAATTTGACGATTCCTCTTTGCACACACATAGCTTCAGATTTTCAAGCTGATGGAAAACAAAACCACCACCATACACATACTCCCCACCTGTTTTTAGGATCTGGATCCATTATTCATACAAAGCGATATTAAAATTATTGACAAACAAGATTGAAGACTTGCAATATGATAAATGAAACTAATTACCTCCGAACATAATGTAAGACGCTTGACAGATGTGATGGATCCAATAACACTTTCAAGAATATGGTACCGAACATCGACATATGCTCCCTTCAGCTTAGGCATATTCTTAATCTTAGAGTAGTGTCTAAAATCGTTCCAATCCTCAAGTTTGAAATACTTCAAAGAAGGAGTATCTATCTCATACCCCTTTAACCACCAATCATCAGGTATATATAGTGATAAACTCTGCAAAGACGGAACGGCAATAGTGAACTCATTCATATATTAGCTACCGGTGCTATCGGTGCATCAGGAAAATACACCAATAGCTCTTCAAGAACAGGACATATCGATAGAAGCTGTTGAAGAATTTCTTCATCTGCATATGTCACAAAATGAAGTTGCAAACTTTTCAGAGAATGAAGACAAGCCACAGAAGGAACATCCACGAGTTTCACATATTCGAGTTTCAAGATCACGAGCGATTTGCAGGTATAGAAGCTACTTGGAAATATGTTTTCATTTTTATCCGAACAATAACCAATTTCCAGCTCACGTACATAGCGAGAAACTGCAATTCCAACCCACCGTTTGATATCTTCAGGTTTAGTAGAACCTCTTAATTGAAGATGCAAGCTTTCTATTACCGGAGCTCTATGTAATGGAAGATTCTTGTCGACAAAATCTCGAAGTGCAGGGTGCCTACTAACGTACTCGAGTTTAGGCAACCACATCCAAAGAAACTCCCATCGCTTAGACAAAACGTTGGCATGTAGTTAAAAACATGATCTAAGAAACAGAAGAACGATCCCTAATAAGATGCATATTGATCATTAAGATCTTTATACCATGATGGTTTTATTATAGTATAAGAGAAGAACAATGAAATAACATGTTACAAAATATCAAAATTTATTAATACATAAAAGAAAGACTATATGATAAAGAGTTCCACAAGCTCATAATCTTCTTCTGCTAGTAACTACGTAATAGCATTCCACTTGACTTCATCAACCACAACGAAGATTATGCGCGCCCAAAAAACGTAACAGATTCAGATATTAGGAACAAACGCATCTTGGGAATTTCTAATCACATATGTATAGTTTTCAATTTTAACCGAAATCTGATTCAATTAAGTCCTAGACTCGGCATAATACTTTTTCCGAGTACATTATCCGTTTTTGTCAACTCGAATACTTAAGTTCGTTCTGTTGAATCGGGTAATAGAAACCCAAAACTAGAATCATGACCCATAATTAATATCTAACCCATTGAAAAAAGCAAAAAAAAAATGCTCGAAACCATGGAGAAGAGCCAACCCCTGCGCACCGACTTATTCAAAGCATTGACAAACAGATTTGGATCCGGCTATGTTCGATTCGAGGCATTGCACCCGAGCTTGATGGAGGCCTAGTGCTTTGGTTCGAGGCACGAGACTCATGATAGAGAGACCAACACGGATCATACTCAAATTTACTTTAATAAAAG